ACAGTCTCCCTCAGATCTGGATAGCTTGGATGGGCGGAGCCTCAACGATGACGGCAGCAGTGACCCTAGAGATATAGACCAGGATAACCGAAGCACATCCCCCAGCATCTACAGCCCAGGGAGTGTGGAGAATGACTCCGATTCATCTTCTGGCTTGTCCCAGGGCCCAGCCCGCCCCTACCATCCACCTCCACTCTTTCCTCCCTCCCCTCCACAACCAGACAGCACCCCCCGACAGCCAGATCCTGGCTTTGAACCCCATTCCTCTGTGACACCAACTGGATATCATGCTCCCATGGAGCCTCCCACTTCCCGAATGTTCCAGGCTCCTCCTGGGGCCCCTCCCCCTCATCCTCAGCTCTATCCTGGGGGAGCTGGTGGAGTTTTATCCGGACCCCCAATGGGTCCTAAAGGAGGAGGGGCTGCCTCTTCAGTGGGGGCCTCTAGTGGGGGTAAGCAGCACCCCCCACCCACAACCCCCATTTCAATATCAAGCTCTGGAGCTAGTGGTGCTCCCCCAACAAAGCCACCTAATACTCCAGGGGGTGGTGGAAATCTAACCTCTGCTCCACCACCAGCCACTTTCCCTCATGTGACACCAAACCTGCCTCCTCCACCTGCCCTGAGACCCCTCAACAACGCTTCAGCCTCTCCTCCTGGCCTAGGGGCCCAGCCACTCCCTGGACATCTTCCCTCTCCTCATGCCATGGGTCAGGGCATGGGTGGACTTCCTCCAGGCCCAGAAAAGGGCCCAACTCTGGCTCCCTCACCCCACCCTCTTCCTCCTGCTTCCTCCTCTTCTGCTCCAGCTCCCCCAATGAGGTATCCTTATTCATCCTCTAGCAGTAGCTCTGTGGCAGCCTCTTCTTCCACTTCTTCCTCCTCTTCCTCTGCTTCCCAGTACCCAGCTTCCCAGGCATTGCCCAGTTATCCCCACTCCTTCCCTCCCCCAACAAGTCTCTCTGTCTCCAATCAGCCACCCAAGTATACTCAGCCTTCCCTCCCATCCCAGGCTGTGTGGAGCCAGGGTCCCCCTCCACCTCCTCCCTATGGTCGACTCTTGGCCAATAGCAATGCTCATCCAAGCCCCTTCCCTACTTCTGGGGGCCAATCCACTGCACACCCACCAGCCCCAACACATCACCATCACCACCAGCAGCAGCAGCAGCAGCAACAGCAGCAGCAGCAGCAACAGCAACAACAGCAGCAGCAGCAGCAGCATCATGGAAGCTCTGGGCCCCCTCCACCTGGAGCATATCCCCACCCCCTAGAGAGCAGTGGCTCCCACCATGCACACCCTTACACCATGTCTCCCTCCCTGGGGTCTCTGAGACCCTACCCATCAGGGCCAACACACCTGCCCCCACCTCACAGCCAGGTGTCCTACAGCCAAGCAGGCCCCAGTGGCCCCCCAGTCTCCTCCTCCAACTCGTCCTCTTCTTCTCAAGGCTCCTACCCATGTTCGCATCCCTCCCCTTCTCAGGGCCCCCAAGGGGCGTCCTACCCCTTCCCACCGGTGCCTCCGGTCACCACCTCCTCTGCTACCCTTTCCACGGTCATTGCCACCGTGGCTTCCTCGCCAGCAGGCTACAAAACAGCTTCCCCACCTGGACCCCCACCCTATGGCAAGAGAGCCTCATCCCCCGGGGCCTACAAGACAGCCACCCCACCGGGATACAAGCCCGGGTCACCACCTTCCTTCAGGACAGGGACCCCACCGGGCTTTCGAGGCACCTCCCCGCCAGCAGGCCCAGGGACCTTCAAGCCAGGCTCACCTACTGTGGCGTCTGGGCCCTTGCCACCTGCAGGGCCCTCAAGCCTATCATCTCTGCCGCCACCACCTGCGGCCTCTGCCTCAGGGCCACCCCTGAGTGCCACACAGATCAAACAAGAGCCAACTGAGGAGTACGAGACCCCAGAGAGCCCCGTGCCCCCAGCCCGTAGCCCCTCGCCCCCTCCCAAGGTGGTAGATGTGCCCAGCCACGCCAGTCAGTCTGCCAGGTGAGCAGCCTGGGTCGGATGCTGGTGGGTTTGGAGTCGGGGTACGGTGGACACCGGAGCCTCGTGTTTATGTGGTGCTTTCTAGAAGTACACTAAACAGCTCTCCGCCTTCACGGAGGCTGCTTTTGAGGATGGGGCAGGATGGCCGCCGGGCAGCTAGCAGGAACTGAGCACGCACTGCCTCCGCGCCCCACAGGTTTAACAAACACCTAGACCGCGGCTTCAACTCGTGCGCGCGCAGCGACTTGTATTTCGTGCCGCTGGAGGGCTCCAAGCTGGCCAAGAAGCGGGCCGACCTGGTGGAGAAGGTGCGTCGCGAGGCTGAACAGCGAGCGCGCGAAGAAAAGGAGCGCGAGCGGGAGCGGGAACGCGAAAAGGAGCGTGAGCGCGAGAAAGAGCGCGAGCTCGAACGCAGCGTGGTAAGTGCGTCACAAAATGCGCCACCCGCCGCCTTTCCCTCCCTTCTTGGCGCTGCGTAGTTGGGCTCCGGATGGGCTGGGGCTGGGGCTAGGAGCGAGACGAGAATCACTTCGCCACCTGTCGGAGAGGATGAACCACTGCAGCCCATAACTAGGAGCCTAAGAGGATTGCAGTGGGAGCAATCTTTGTATTTCTGGGTTTGGGGAATTGTGGCGGGGTCGGGGTGCAGGGACGTTCTTTCACAGTCAGGGTTGCAACATTCTTTTATAAGCATCGTGGCATTCAGTTGCTCAGATAGTTGGGCAACTTGGGACCAGCCAAATATCCTCATAGATCCTCTTTTAACTCCACTTCTTCCTCTACCCCACAGAAGTTGGCGCAGGAGGGCCGTGCTCCAGTGGAGTGCCCTTCTCTGGGCCCAGTGCCCCATCGCCCTCCATTTGAGCCTGGTAGTGCTGTAGCTACAGTGCCCCCCTACCTGGGTCCTGACACTCCAGCCCTGCGCACTCTCAGTGAATATGCCCGACCGCATGTCATGTCTCCTGGCAATCGCAACCATCCATTCTACGTGCCGTTAGGGGCAGTGGACCCGGGGCTTCTGGGTTACAACGTCCCAGCCCTATACAGCAGTGACCCAGCTGCCCGGGAGAGGGAGCGGGAAGCCCGTGAACGAGATCTCCGTGATCGTCTCAAGCCTGGCTTCGAGGTGAAGCCAAGTGAGCTGGAACCCCTACATGGGGTCCCTGGGCCAGGCCTAGATCCCTTCCCCCGACATGGGGGCCTGGCTCTGCAGCCTGGCCCTCCTGGCCTGCACCCTTTCCCTTTTCATCCAAGTCTGGGGCCTCTGGAGCGAGAACGTCTAGCGCTGGCAGCTGGGCCAGCCCTGCGGCCGGACATGTCCTATGCTGAACGGCTGGCAGCTGAGAGGCAACATGCTGAAAGGGTGGCAGCCCTGGGCAATGACCCACTGGCCCGGCTGCAGATGCTCAATGTGACCCCTCATCACCACCAGCACTCTCACATCCACTCTCACCTGCACCTGCACCAGCAGGATGCCATTCATGCAGGTGAGACCCCTGCTTCCTGGCTTTGACCTGTGGGGCTGCCTTACCTGATTGGGCTCTTCTGTTTCTCAGACCCACTCCCTTTACTGTTCCGACAGAACCTCTCCTGAGAAAGCTCCCCTGATTTTTGCCTCCCTGACATTCCTCCATGCACTTGCTTAGCCGTAGAGCTTGTGCATTCCCCACACCCCTTCCCCTCGATAGAGGCCCAAGCTGGAGTCTTTGAGGGCACACCACTTTTCCATCCTTGCATCCCTTTTCCCAAAGCCCTTAGCATACTAATTTTCTTGTTCCCCTGGATTCAAATCTTGTTTCTTGCCATACTTTCCTTTTGTTCCAGCTGGAGGTTTTTTATGTTCCTTCCCATCTCTAGGTCTGAAACCCCCTAGAAAGGGCTCTTTAACTTTGTTTTGGGTGTTACAGGCAATAATGAGCTTTACTTACTATCCTTTTCCCATATTTATAAGAAACTTTTATAATATTTTATAAACATTGCCCAGCCTAGCCTTACACTCATGTTCAGTTTGGGATCCCTTGTGCTGTCTTCTTAATCTCCCTACTCTTCCTTTTTCATTTTCTAAACTTCCATCATCTCCCACCTTCTCAAAGTAAGTTTACTCTCTCCTTCTTCATTCTCTGAACCCTCTGGCAACTGTAATCTGACATCTGTGTGTCCCTATTCCTGCAGGGTCTCTTCTTGTCCATCCCCCAGGTCTCTAGTACTTCCATTCTACCTTTGTTCCACTTTGGATCCCCTTGTGTTTGTCCATGTTTCTTCCCAGACTCAGATCCCCCACCCAAATGCATGGTTTTTACCAAAACATGCCTTCTAGTGACATATTCCTCTTTTCTGCCCTCTAGCCTCTGCCTCGGTGCACCCTCTCATTGACCCCCTGGCCTCAGGGTCTCACCTTACCCGGATCCCCTACCCAGCTGGGACCCTCCCTAACCCCCTTCTTCCTCACCCTCTGCACGAGAACGAAGTTCTTCGTCACCAGCTTTTTGGTAAGGACAGAGGTTGGGTTCGGGAAGCACTAATGAGAGGACAAAATGTGGGTATTGGGGATGGGTCTAGTGAGAGTTGGGAGGCATGAATAGCTGGAATAAGAATAGGAGAGCTGCAGCTTAGGAGGCTGAGGCAGGAGGATCATGAATTCAAAGCCAGCTTCAGCAAAAGTGAGACACTAAGCAACTAGTGAGACCTTGTCTCTAAATAAAATCAAAATAACGCTGGGGATGTGGCTCATGGCCGAGTGCCCCTGAGTTTGATCCCTGATACAAAAAAAAAAAAAAAAAAAAAGGAGAGCTGAGGTTTTGCTCAAGAGAGGCTCAGGTTTTAGGGCCAGGCTAAGAGGTTTGACTTCTGATTCCATTCCACCATTGGCAGCTTGCAAGATGGGCAGCGTTACTTTATTTTCTTCTGTTTTCTCTGTATGTAAAATGGTTGTCTAACCCCTGGCCCAAAGCATGTACTCAGTATCCATCGGTCATGTGCCCCTTGCTTTTCTACTCACAGCTGCCCCTTACCGGGACCTGCCAGCCTCCCTCTCTGCCCCGATGTCTGCAGCTCATCAGCTGCAGGCCATGCACGCGCAGTCTGCTGAGCTGCAGCGCTTGGCGCTGGAACAGCAGCAGTGGCTGCATGCCCATCACCCGCTGCACAGTGTGCCGCTACCTGCCCAGGAGGACTACTACAGGTACTGTGTGGTGTTCATAGACCACGAGTCAGGGAAGAAGGGCTAGGCCAGCATGGGATGGGCAGTAGGGCAGTAGGGTCCTAGGGGAGGAACCCCCTGCTTTCCATCTTTATTTGTGAAGAAGACAAGGTCACAGTTGATCTCAGTCTCTCATTTCTCTGCTATGCATCACTTCTTCCTTAGTCACCTGAAGAAAGAAAGTGACAAGCCACTGTAGAACCTTCGATCAAGAGAACACCATGGCTCCTACATCTGAACCTTGAAGGACCCCTTCCTAGCTGCCACCCAGAGCCAAGGAGAGGGTGCTATTCAGTTGCAGGGCCTCCGCAGCTGGGCAGAGGGAGGGAGGAAATAAGGAACAGACAGAAGGCCAAGGCCCAGGTGGTGTGCAGAGGGCAGAGGTGGGGGGGTGGTAAAGGTGGGGATGGAAAGTGCACAGTACCTTGGACCAGGTCCCTCTTCTTTTGTGCCCTGCTTTCCTCTTCCCCTATGCCCAGCCCTCGGTGGTCACTGCCCTTCCCCCACCCCGTTGGTGTGATTATTTCATCTGTTAGATGTGGCTGTTTTGCGTAGCATTGTGTGCTGCCCCTGCCCTGCCCCTTCCCAATCCCTGTGTGCGCGCCCCCTCTGCAATGTATGCCCCTTACCCTTCCCCACATTAATAATTTATATATATAAATATCTATATGATGCTCTTTAAAAAACATCCCAACCAAAACCAACCAAACAAAAACATCCTCACAACTCCCCAGGAAGATGGCTGTGACTTGTTCTTTGTGGGCTAAGGGGGTTCGGGTGAGGTCTTGTTGCAACAGGGAAGTGGGAAGGGATGGGATTATTAAGGAACTGGGTGTAGGGACCCAAAAGAGTTGAACAGGGACCTCAGAAGAACTCAGATTCTTGGCTCTGCTGGCAATGGTATACTATGGTGCTAGGCCTTTCCTTGACTTCAGCAAGGAGGGCCTGGAATGAGCCTACACCTGGCAAACCCAGATCAAAGAAACTACTTAAATCTTGGAGGTGTTCCCATCACTGATCCTACTAGGTGCCCCCTGAGGCCTCTAATGAGGGCCTCAGGGTCGTGAATCCTTTCCGAGAATAGTCTGAGGCACATTATGAAGTGCGAGCGAGATGAGTGTAGCTTAGGTAAACTCGTGTGATTAGGACTTGGCATTCAGTGGGTGACAATTCCAGACGCCTGGAAGGGAAATGATATAGAACGTTATGCAGCACTACCTCCAACTTTAAAAGGCCTGAAGGGTTCTCGGTTTTTTTTTTTTTTTTTTTTTTGAGCTTTCATTGCTGCGAATCACTGTCTTGGTTCTTAAGAAAGGAGCTGTGATTGGCTGCTTTCTCAGCCAGTCAGCATAGAGCTCATTTGCATACATGAAATCAAACATTCACAAACGCTAGAAATGAATCACTTAAATTCCTTAGAATATTGTTTTTCTTACCGAAGGTCATAATATGTCCTATTGCTTCTACATTAGCAGGGGTTCGAAAAGCATCACTTTGATCTCACCCTCACTAATAATGGAGTTAATGTACACCCCAAGTTGGCTCCACACTTTGTTTTGGAAGTGTTGCAGCTCTTTTAGAATTTGTCTAGCAGGCTTTCTGGCAGTTGCCGGAAAGCCCCTCTCACATGATTTGTCTGTAACGACAGAATTGGTCTTGCTGGTTCTTTATTTTTCCCGGATAAGTAGTCGGGAATTTACAGTCCCTGAGATTAAGGCTCAGCTAACACTTCCGGCTACGGATGATGCTGTTTCCCCTCCGCCTCCACCAGCCTTGAGAACTGCTGTAGGAGGTGGCTTGTTTGTCTAGGTTTTTCATTTCTCGTTTTTATTTTATATCTTCGCTGCACGTGCAGCTTTCGTCGTTCTATGGCGTCTGCCGCGGCCCAACCCGCGCCCCTGAGCGCGGAGCAGGCCAAGGGTGAGAAGCACCTTAGTCATGGTTTGGGCTGCCCGTTGCGGTGGGGGTTACTGGGCCAAAGACTTTCCGCGGGAAACGGGGACGGAGGGCATGGCATACCGGCTCTTTCCTCCACCTATGTGGGGTCCTTGCTCCTAGTGGAATTCGGATTATGAGCTTTACCGGGTTACTTACGTTCTCGATTCACTAATTCCCCGCCCTCTTCCCTGCGCTTTCTGCTGGGCCTGCCGGCCATGTCCCGGCGCTACCCCGGGACGCCTCCCTGGGCTGCATCTTGTGCGTAGTGGTCCTGGCGGAGGTGATCCAGGCGTTTTCGGCCCCGGAGAACGCCGTGCGCATGGATGAGGCTAGAGACAATGCGTGCAACGACATGGGCAAGATGCTGCAATTCGTGCTGCCCGTGGCCACGCAGATCCAACAAGAGGTTATCAAAGCTTATGGCTTCAGCTGCGACGGGGAAGGTGGGTCGGACGCGGGTCGGCGGTGGGGTGGTTGGGGGAGAGGGCGCAGAATGTGTGGGCCCCAGTGCTGCCGTCCTCTTTCTTGCCACACGGCGGCAGCCACAATCTAACAGTATTGGCACACGCAGCCCAAAACCTACCATGAACCTTTGCCGGCGACGTCCTAAATGCATTTTTTAAAAATATACTTTTTGGTTGTTGATGGACCTTTTATTTATTTGTATGTGGTGCTGAGAATCGAACCCAGTGCTTCACACGCGCGAGGCAAGAGCTCTACCGCTAAGTTACGACTCCAGCCCCCTAAGTGCATTTTGTTTTAACTATTAGTCACACAATTTTTCCATATTAAGATGGAACAGACTTTAAAGCAAAACAAGTGCCCGGGGTAACAAGTACTAGGAACTTGAACCCCGTCGTTTTGGTAGTTTTAGCAAGATGTCTGCATGACAGTACACTTCTGTAGTTCCTGAAAGGTGTTTCAGCTAATCAGTTCAAGGCTTAGAGGTTGAATTTCCCAAGCGTGTGCATTGATTCAGTCCAGCTGCCCCACTGTCTTCCTGTGTCCCGCTATAGATATGGGATCTCATGGATGTTCATACTTGGGGTTCTTGTGACTAGTGCTAAAATGGCCCACCTCAGAATGAGCAGCACACTATTTCTGGGATATTTTTATTCACTGCATTCCATCCCATTGTAACCAGTACAGACCAGAAGTGATTGATCCAAACCCTGCAGAGCCAGTAATTTTGTATTCAAGCCACCCTCCACCCCCCACTAGCTGTCTTTGTCACACTGGGCCCCAGAATGTGAGTTGACTGTCCACTCCCTCTTCCAGGTGTCCTTAAGTTTGCTCGCTTGGTTAAATCCTATGAAGCCCAGGATCCTGAGATTGCCAGCCTGTCAGGAAAGCTGAAGGCTCTGTTCTTACCACCCATGACGCTGCCGCCCCATGGGCCTGCTTCTGGTGGCAGCGTGGCTGCCTCCTGAGAGTTGGCCTTTCCCTGTGCTGCTGCAAGGGAGAGGAAGAATCTCAGGTGTTTCAGAGGAAAATAAATGTACCTGTGACTTAATCCTGTGTCAGTCTTTTGTGATCTTGACAACCACTCCTATTCCTCAACCTCCTTGGATTCCTTGTGCCTTTCCAGGTTGCTACATACCCTTGTGAAAGTCCTTCTTGTAACTTCCTGCTGTGCCCAACCCTACTCCAGTGAGAGGCTAAGGCTCCTCCACTCACGGAAAGGCAGGTGAGAGGGTGGGTCTACACAGGTGGCACCTCCTTCTTTGAGAAATGGGTTTCCGGGGTTTTTCCTTGAACTCCTTGGTTTCCATAGACTGAGAGGTTCCCCATTGGTCGGTGTTCCCTTGGCCAGCATTACTTCCTGGTCTTTGCCCCTACTGGACCTGCAGTTGCTTTATCAGCTGGCACTCCAGGTGGAGCTGCAGGTAGCTCCTCCCCTCTTAAGAGAAGGAAGCCCTGGACTGGCAGGCTGCCTGTTGGACTAGAGTCGGGTAGCGGGGGTGAGCAGGCTGCTGTGGGCGGTCTCAGACCAGCCCCGCCCCACCTGTTCTTTCCCGGAGACCATTAGTTCAGGGGCTTGTCCTTTCAGTGCTGTTGGCCTGGAGGGCTGGATCGAGGAGGAAGTGGCTGAGATAAGGCGTGTTCTTCCTTCCTGGACCACTGTGCACAACTGTGCCACTGGCTCCTCCCCACCCCCTGTGGCCCTCTGTCTGTGATTCCCCCATCCTTCCAAGGAGATGCTGTCCCGTGGGTAAGTCCTCTGTACCACTTGGTTCCAAAGTCTGTTAAGTTTGGGAGGGAGGGACATTGTTCATGTTTATTGCCAACAGGTGTGTGATCATGATTATAATCTGCTGCTGCCCCTGCCCATGCCTGTTTCCTGTCCCTGTGGACTTTCTCCTCCCCACAAGATATAAAGACCCTTAGGCTCATTCATGCTTCTCTGTCCTTTTTCTTTCACACTTTTCCCCTGATAGATGTGTATTTTTTCTCACCATCACATTTCTATCTCCAATCTCTGGACCTCTTCTCTGCCTTCTACCTAGGACCTTTTCCTCTGAGTAGTTCACATCACCTGAAAGGCACACCAGAGAAGACTCCCATTTCCAGCACTTCCCAACCTCTGGCCTTGGTTCCATTTTGTTTCCCTTCACTTCTCCCTCCCCTGCAACATTCATTCAATGGGTACATGTTGAGTATCTGCTATGTGCCAGGTATGTTTAAGATTCTGGTGGAAAAAAAAGAAAAAGATGCTGGTGATACTGGAGTGAATGAGATAGACATGGTCCCTGCTCCCCCAGAGCTGACATTCCTGTGAAAGGTGACATACTGAACAGATAATGCAATTATTTCAGATGTTCAGAAATGTTATACAGGAAATGAAACAACTTCATGCGCTAACAAGAGACTGGTGACATTACTAGCTGGTGGAGTCAGGGAGGGCTTCCTGAGAAGGTGACATTTGAACTGACAGGAGTCAAGCACCTCTGTGCAGAGGAAATGGTGAATATAAAGCCCGCTGTGGGAACACATAGGAAAGGACCGTGTGCCTACAGCAGAGGGAACCCATAGAGAGGAAGGAGGACCACGGTAGGTTAGACTTTGTTGGAGTTTGGATATTATGTGTGAAAACCTGCATACACAATGTTGGTGACTTCGTGTATTGGTTGCCCCCACCACAGTCCTGCTGATTCTTTTTTTTTTCTTTTTTTTTTTGTTCAGTCCTGCTGAATTCTTGCTTCTTACATTCATATGTGTCATTTCTGCTTACACTGTCTCCCTCACTACATGCCTTGTCATTGTTAGCTCCACTAATGGGGACTCTTCTAGTTCCCGAGCCCTTCCATACTCCTGCCATGATCATTTTCTCATCAAGTGGCTCAAAAGACCTCTCTCAGGGCTGAATCCTTTCTTGGTTCTTCATCCTAAACATATGAGATCCTCTGAATCTGGTCCCAGCCTCTCTAGATTTGTTACAGCCATACTGCCCTGCTTACACTGGTCTCTGCTCAAGTGCATCTGTTCATGCTAACTCTGGTTGCCTCCTGCCTCTGTGGGGGAACACCTACTCACTCCATCTTCCATGATGGGATGTGCTAGTACCCATGTCTGCCCACAGCAGTGTGGTTGGTGTGGTAGACACGGCAACAGGCTCTGGCACCAGACAGACTTGGTTTGTTCACCTTCCCACTCATTAGCTTGTGACTCTGGCTGTCACTTAACATCTCTGACTCTTCATTTTTGTTTCTAAAATTGGGCTAGTGCAACTTAATAGGGTTTGTGATATGTGCCTGTGTGCCCGCTACTCAGGAGGCTGAGGCAGGAGAATGACAAATTTGAGCCTAGCCTCAGCAACTTAGCAAGACCCTGTCTCAAAATAAAATGAAAAGTGTGTGTGTATACTGGTGTGGCAGGGGCTATATCTCAGAAGTAGAATCCCCAGTAACAGACAATAAATATTAACAAATAGGGCTGAGTGCGGTGGAGCAAGCCTGTACTCCTAGTGGCTCTGGAGGCTGAGGCAGGAGAAACTCTAGTTCAAAGCCACCCTCAGCAACAGCGAGGCTCTAAGCAATTCAGTGAGACCTTGTCTTTAAGTAAATTCAAAATAGAGCTGGAGATATGGCCCAATGGTTGAGTGCCCCTGAGTTCAATCCCCAATACCCCCCCCCACAACAACAACAACAAAATCCAAATAGGGTTGGAATGAGAATAATACAGCGGTCCCTTAGCATCGATGGAGAGATGGTTCCTGAACTACCTAGATACCCAAATCTATGAATGCTTGAGTGTCTTGGTTAAATGGTATAACGTGAGCCATAGCATGCATGGCTGTCATCCCAGCTACTTGAAGGGCTGAGGTAGGAGGATTGCAATTTCAAGGCCAGCTTTTGCAATTGAGCAAGACCCTGTCTCAAAATATAATAAAAAAGACTGGGGATGTAGCTTAGTGCTTGAGCCTCTGGGATCAATCCCTAGTACGCCAATGAATGAGTGAATGAATGAATGAATAAAATGTACAGTATTTGCATAGAACCTTTGCACATCCTCTGGTATATTTTATATCACCTCTAGAATATTTACAATACTGAATACAATGCAAATGCTATGTAAATTCTTGTTACACTGTATCATTGAGGGAATAACGATGAGAAAAAAAGTCTATATATGTTCAGTACAGATATAATTAAAACATATAAATTTTCCATTATCCATGTTCAGTGGCCCACACCTGTAATCCCATTGACTTGGGAAGCTAATGCAGGAGAATGATAAATTTGAGGCCAGCCTGCTGGGTTTCTGTTCTGGCGACTAAAAGGCTCAGGGGTCACTCTAGTTAAACTGGGCTAACTGGGCTGCACGAAATAACCACACAAGAGACACAAATA